TGTTTGCTTACCACAAGGCACATGGCTAACCTACAAGTAGTGACATGATTCCTTACCACAAAGCACATGGACGAGGCACATGGCTGACCTACAAGTAGTGACATGTTTGCTTACCACGAAGCACATGGCTAACGTACAAGTAGTGACATGTTTGCCACAAGGCACATGGCTAACCTACAAGTAGTGACATGTTTGCTTACGACAAGGCACATGGCTAACCTACTAGTAGGGACATGTTTGCTTACCACAAGGCACGTGGCTAAGCTACAAGTAGTGACATGTTTGCTTACCACAAGGCACATGGCTAACGTACAAGTAGTGACATGTTTGCCACAACGTACATGGCTAACCTACAAGTAGTGACATGTTTGCTTACCACAAGGCACATGGCTAACCTATAAGTAGTGACATGTTTGCCACAAGGTACATGGCTAATCTACAAGTAGTGACATGTTTGCTTACCACAAGGCACATGGCTAACCTATAAGTAGTGACATGTTTGCCACAAGGTACATGGCTAACCTACAAGTAGTGACATGTTTGCTTACCGCAAAGCACATGGCTAACCTATAGGTAGTGACATGTTTGCTTACCATAAGGCACATGGCTAACCTATAAGTAGTGACATGTTTGCCACAAGGTACATGGCTAACCTACAAGTAGTGACATGTCTGCTTACCGCAAAGCACATGGCTAACCTATAGGTAGTGACATGTTTGCTTACCCCAAGGCACATGGCTAACCTATAAGTAGTGACATGTTTGCCACAAGGTACATGGCTAACCTACAAGTAGTGACATGTCTGCTTACCCCAAGGCACATGGCTAACCTATAGGTAGTGACACGTTTGCTTACCACAAGGCACATGGCTAACCTATAAGTAGTGACATGTTTGCTTACCACAAGGCACATGGCTAACCTATAAGTAGTGACATGTTTGCCACAAGGTACATGGCTAATCTACAAGTAGTGACATGTTTGCTTACCACAAAGCACATGGCTAACCTATAAGTAGTGACATGTTTGCCACAAGGTACATGGCTAACCTACAAGTAGTGACATGTTTGCTTCCCGCAAAGCACATGGCTAACCTATAGGTAGTGACATGTTTGCTTACCATAAGGCACATGGCTAACCTATAAGTAGTGACATGTTTGCCACAAGGTACATGGCTAACCTACAAGTAGTGACATGTCTGCTTACCGCAAAGCACATGGCTAACCTATAGGTAGTGACATGTTTGCTTACCATAAGGCACATGGCTAACCTATAAGTAGTGACATGTTTGCCACAAGGTACATGGCTAACCTACAAGTAACATGTCTGCTACATGGCTAACCTATAAGTGACACGTTCCGCTTACCACAAGGCACATGGCTAACCTATAAGTAGTGACCTATGTACATGGCTAGTGACACGTGGCTAACCTGGTAGTGACATGTTTGCTTACCACAAGGCACATGGCTAACCTATAGGTAGTGACACGTTTGCTTACCACAAGGCACATGGCTAACCTATAGGTAGTGACATGTTTGCTTACCATAAGGCACATGGCTAACCTATAAGTAGTGACATGTTTGCCACAAGGTACATGGCTAACCTACAAGTAGTGACATGTCTGCTTACCGCAAAGCACATGGCTAACCTATAGGTAGTGACACGTTTGCTTACCACAAGGCACATGGCTAACCTATAAGTAGTGACACGTTTGCTTACCCCAAGGCACATGGCTAACCTACAAAGTAGTGACATGTTTGCCACAAGGTACATGGCTAACCTACAAGTAGTGACATGTCTGCTTACCGCAAAGCACATGGCTAACCTATAGGTAGTGACATGTTTGCTACCATAAGGCACATGGCTAACCTATAAGTAGTGACATGTTTGCCACAAGGTACATGGCTAACCTACAAGTAGTGACATGTCTGCTTACCGCAAAGCACATGGCTAACCTATAGGTAGTGACATGTTTGCTTACCATAAGGCACATGGCTAACCTATAAGTAGTGACACGTTTGCTTACCACAAGGTACATGGCTAACCTACAAGTAGTGACATGTCTGCTTACCGCAAAGCACATGGCTAACCTATAGGTAGTGACACGTTTGCTTACCACAAGGCACATGGCTAACCTATAGGTAGTGACACGTTTGCTTACCACAAGGCACATGGCTAACCTATAGGTAGTGACATGTTTGCTTACCATAAGGCACATGGCTAACCTATAAGTAGTGACATGTTTGCCACAAGGTACATGGCTAACCTACAAGTAGTGACATGTCTGCTTACCGCAAAGCACATGGCTAACCTATAGGTAGTGACACGTTTGCTTACCACAAGGCACATGGCTAACCTATAGGTAGTGACACGTTTGCTTACCACAAGGCACATGGCTAACCTATAGGTAGTGACACGTTTGCTTACCCCAAGGCACATGGCTAACCTATAAGTAGTGACATGTTTGCCACAAGGTACATGGCTAACCTACAAGTAGTGACATGTCTGCTTACCGCAAAGCACATGGCTAACCTATAGGTAGTGACACGTTTGCTTACCCCAAGGCACATGGCTAACCTACAAGTAGTGACATGTTTGCCACAAGGCACATGGCTAACCTATAGGTAGTGACATGTTTGCTTACCACAAGGCACATGGCTAACCTATAGGTAGTGACACGTTTGCTTACCACAAGGCACATGGCTAACATATAAGTAGTGACATGTTTGCCACAAGGTACATGGCTAACCTATAGGTAGTGACATGTCTGCTTACCGCAAAGCACATGGCTAACCTATAGGTAGTGACACGTTTGCTTACCACAAGGCACATGGCTAACCTATAGGTAGTGACACGTTTGCTTACCACAAGGCACATGGCTAACCTATAGGTAGTGACACGTTTGCTTACCCCAAGGCACATGGCTAACCTATAAGTAGTGACATGTTTGCCACAAGGTACATGGCTAACCTACAAGTAGTGACATGTCTGCTTACCGCAAAGCACATGGCTAACCTATAGGTAGTGACACAATTGCTTACCCCAAGGCACATGGCTAACCTACAAGTAGTGACATGTTTGCCACAAGGCACATGGCTAACCTATAGGTAGTGACATGTTTGCTTACCACAAGGCACATGGCTAACCTATAGGTAGTGACATGTTTGCCACAAGGCACATGGCTAACCTATAAGTAGTGACATGTTTGCCACAAGGTACATGGCTAACCTATAGGTAGTGACATGTTTGCTTACCACAAGGCACATGGCTAACCTATAGGTAGTGACATGTTTGCCACAAGGCACATGGCTAACCTATAAGTAGTGACATGTTTGCCACAAGGCACATGGCTAACCTATAGGTAGTGACATGTTTGCTTACCCCAAGGCACATGGCTAACCTACAAAGTAGGGACATGTTTGCCACAAGGCACATGGCTAACCTATAGGTAGTGACATGTTTGCTTACCCCAAGGCACATGGCTAACCTACAAAGTAGTGACATGTTTGCCACAAGGCACATGGCTAACCTATAAGTAGTGACATGTTTGCACTCAGGCACTTGTCTAACCTATAGGTAGTGACATGTTTGCTTTCCCCAAGGCACATGGCTAACCTACAAAGTAGTGACATGTTTGCCACAAGGCACATGGCTAACCTATAAGTAGTGACATGTTTGCTTACCCCAAGGCACATGGCTAACCTACAAAGTAGTGACATGTTTGCCACAAGGCACATGGCTAACCTATAGGTAGTGACATGTTTGCCACAACGCACATGGCTAACCTATAGGTAGTGACATGTTTGCTTACCCCAAGGCACACATGAACCTCGCGGTCCCGGTCACCGACGCACGCCAGATCGAAGTCCTCGCAAACGACTTGCCGCTCTGGCACGGGGCTCAGCTGGCAGTCGACGTGACCCTCGTCAGCCCCCTTGGCCGCACCGGACAGGTGCGCCACGCTTCCGACGCGAACCCGGGCGCGGCGATCCTGGCAGCCTCCCAGCGCAAGCGGGAACACACCTACCCCGAGTTTTCCGGCTCGCGCCGCTGCCACCTAATCATCTTGGGTCTCGAAGTAGGAGGTCGTTGGGGCGAGGAAGCCGCCGACTTCCTCCGAGCCTTGGCGCACGCCCGCGCCCGCACTGCGCCAGCACTCCTCCGCTCGGCGGCAGTTCAGGCCTACGTGCACCGTTGGGCCGGCCTCCTATCCGTCGCGGCGCAGCGCGCCCTGGCCGAGACTCTCCTCGAACTCCCGGCCGCGGCCGCACCCGGCGTCGATGGGGAGCCCCCGCCGTTCGCCGCGACCCTGGCTGACGTCCGGTGGCATGAACGCCCACCGGATAGTCGCCTCCCGCGGTGACCGCTGTGGCTGTACATAGCCTCCCCCAATGGCAAAGTCCATTGGCGCGTGAGACGCAGAGTGGGTCATGCAGCAGGGGAAGGCACATGGCTAACCTACAAAGTAGTGACATGTTTGCCACAAGGCACATGGCTAACCTATAGGTAGTGACATGTTTGCTTACCCCAAGGCACATGGCTAACCTACAAAGTAGTGACATGTTTGCCACAAGGCACATGGCTAACTATAGTAGGAAATGTATTGCCCACAAGGAACCATGGCTAACCTATAGGTAGGACATGTGGGCATTACCCCAAGGCACCATGGCTACTACAAAGTAGTGACATGTTTGCCACAAGGCACATGGCCTAAACCTATAGGTTAGTGACATGTTTGCACAAGCACATGGCTACATATAGGTAGTGAATGTTTGCTTTTTTTTTTTAACCCCCAAGGTCAATGGTAACCTACAAGTGGGTGACATGTTTGCCACAGGCACTGGGCTAACCTATAGGTAGTGACATGTTTGACCACCAAGGAACATGGTAACCTATGCAAGTAGTGACATGTGGATTACCACAAGGAACATGGCCTAACCTACAAGTAGTGACTGTTGACACAAGGCACATGGCTAACTTACAAAAGTAGTTGGCCATGTTGCTTAACGCAAGGCACAGGCTAACCTATAGGTTTTAGTGACATGTTTGCACAGGCACATGGATAACCTACCAAGTAGTGCATTGTTTGCACAAGGCACCAGGCTACCTACAAGTAGTGACCTGTTTGCCACAAGGCACATGGCTAACCTACCAAGTAGATGACAGTTGGCCACAAGGCACCATGGCGAACCTACAAGAGTGACATGTTTGCTTACCCACAAGGACACATTGGCTAACATACAAAAGTAGTGAATGTTGCCCACAAGGACATGGCTAACCGACAATAGGGACATGTTGCTTACCACAAGGCACATGGATCTAAACCTACAAGTGTGACAATGTTTGCCACAAGGAACATGGCTAAACCTACAACAGTAGTATGGACATGTTTGCCCCAAGGCACATGGCTAACCTACAAGTAGTGACATGTTTGCTTACCACAAGGCACATGGCTAACCTACAAGTAGTGACATGTTTGCCACAAGGCACATGGCTAACCTACAAAGTAGTGACATGTTTGCCACAAGGCACATGGCTAACCTACAAAGTAGTGACATGTTTGCCACAAGGCACATGGCTAACCTACAAAGTAGTGACATGTTTGCTTACCACAAGGCACATGGCTAACCTACAAGTAGTGACATGTTTGCCACAAGGCACATGGCTAACCTACAAGTAGTGACATGTTTGCCACAAGGCACATGGCTAACCTACAAAGTAGTGACATGTTTGCTTACCACAAGGCACATGGCTAACCTACAAGTAGTGACATGTTTGCCACAAGGCACATGGCTAACCTACAAAGTAGTGACATGTTTGCCACAAGGCACATGGCTAACCTACAAAGTAGTGACATGTTTGCCACAAGGCACATGGCTAACCTACAAGTAGTGACATGTTTGCTTACCACAAGGCACATGGCTAACCTACAAGTAGTGACATGTTTGCCACAAGGCACATGGCTAACCTACAAAGTAGTGACATGTTTGCCACAAGGCACATGGCTAACCTACAAAGTAGTGACATGTTTGCTTACCACAAGGCACATGGCTAACCTACAAAGTAGTGACATGTTTGCCACAAGGCACATGGCTAACCTACAAAGTAGTGACATGTTTGCCACAAGGCACATGGCTAACCTACAAAGTAGTGACATGTTTGCCACAAGGTACATGGCTAACCTACAAGTAGTGACATGTCTGCTTACCGCAAAGCACATGGCTAACCTACAAGTAGTGACATGTTTGCTTACCACAAGGCACATGGCTAACCTATAGGTAGTGACATGTTTGCTTACCACAAGGAACATGGCTAACCTACAAGTAGTGACATGTTTGCTTACCACAAGGCACATGGCTAACCTATAGGTAGTGACATGTTTGCTTACCACAAGGCACATGGCTAACCTACAAGTAGTGACATGTTTGCTTACCACAAGGCACATGGCTAACCTATAGGTAGTGACATGTTTGCTTACCGCAAAGCACATGGCTAACCTACAAGTAGTGACATGTCTGCTTACCGCAAAGCACATGGCTAACCTACAAGTAGTGACATGTTTGCTTACCCCAAGGCACATGGCTAACCTACAAGTAGTGACATGTTTGCTTACCGCAAAGCACATGGCAAACCTACAAGTGGTGACATGTTTGCTTACCCCAAGGCACATGGCTAACCTACAAGTAGTGACATGTTGCTTACCGCCATGACATGCAACCCTACAAGTAGTGACATGTTGCTACCCCAAGGCACATGGCAACCTACAAGTGTGACATGTTTGCTTACCGCAAAGCAATGGCAACCTACAAGTAGTGACATGTTTGCTACCCCAGGCACATGGCTAACTACAAGTAGTGACATGTTTGCTTACCGCAAGCCACTGGCAAACCTAAAGTAGTGACAGGTTGCTTACCCCAAGGCACATGGCTAACCTACAAGTAGTGACATGTTTGCTTACCGCAAAAGCACATGGTAACCTACAAGTAGTGACATGTTGTAACCCAACACATGGCTAACCACAAGTAGTGAAGTTGCTTACCGCAAGCACATGGCTAACCTACAAGTAGTGACATGTTTGCTTACCGCCAAGGCACATGGCTAACCTACAAGTAGTGACATGTTTGCTTACCGCAAAGCACATGGCAAACCTACAAGTAGTGACATGTTTGCTTACCCCAAGGCACATGGCTAACCTACAAGTAGTGACATGTTTGCTTACCGCAAAGCACATGGCAAACCTACAAGTAGTGACATGTTTGCTTACCCCAAGGCACATGGCTAACCTACAAGTAGTGACATGTTTGCTTACCGCAAAGCACATGGCAAACCTACAAGTAGTGACATGTTTGCTTACCCCAAGGCACATGGCTAACCTACAAGTAGTGACATGTTTGCTTACCGCAAAGCACATGGCAAACCTACAAGTAGTGACATGTTTGCTTACCACAAGGCAGATGGCTAAGTCGCCCCGTATGGCCCCATTGAGATAAACAATTTCCACTGGTGTCTAAGCCACCGGATGGCGCCGGCCGAGTCGCTGATGCACACGGCATTCTGCGACCAATCGAATTGCCGGCCTTGGAAAGTGTGCTTCGGGACGGTACAAAAGGGACCATTTTTTTCCAGGGCCCAAAAATTGAGTGCATCATTTCAAGCTTCCAATGCTTCCGACTTTTTGTAATCGAATCAAAATAGTTCATTCTATTTCAGTATATGTCTACCTCATAGCTGATTTGCATGATTAAGGTTATAATAATGCGGCTACATTGGACAAATGCGAAAAAAACAAAAAGAAACAAGTCTTCCCCATGGAGTTGTTCGTCGGCGCGTCCCTCCTATCAGCAACCATTGTTCACGCTTAGGATACTGCAAGAATATTCAAGAATGTCAATGTTTTGGCTGGAAATACGCTATGTATAAAGTTATATCCCCACAACAGGGTTGCTCCCAACACCCCACAGGAAGCATTGGCTAGGTAAAGAGATACAAATAGCATTACAAAATGTCCACGACCTTGTAGCTATATACCTATGAATACCTATGAGAACTTGGAGCAACCCTGCGCAAAGTTGCGAAGAAAACCAACTTGGCCAGACCTACTATTCACATCTATTCACTGAATGGCAGGCAAACAATACCAGCACCCCCAATCAGCTCAGCTGCCAAAAAAAGTGAAGAAACCAAAAAGCAGCTCGGCATTACCTGGGACTGCAAGGAACCCTTTAAGTTCTGAAAGGGTGCCTGGCGGTTTCAAACTCCTCTTCTAATTTTGAAATGGTCATGAAAGTCAATTGGGGATGATCATGGTTTAGGCAATCACGGCGTATGAAGACTTTCGATTAAGAAAAAAACAAGTTATCAAATTAGTATGACTGTGACTGAGTTGTGAATATTAGTATGACCATCATGACAACAACATCAAAAAAGGTTATCAAATTAGTATGGGCCGTGTTTTGTTGTCAAGTACTTTTTATTTCTTGACCTTTTTTTTTGTGTGGTATGCCCACAGGTCCCCAGCGAAACTTTTGCGACATCTGCATCAAGGCACTCATCCTGTTGTCTGATGGCTGGAGCATCTCAACCTGGTTGAAACGAAGAAACACACCACGAAACACGGCTGAAACATGAAACATGGCTGGTTAATGGTTGGTTAACCACACAAAAATCCCATTGTATAAATCTATAGATGTATATAGAATGGTTGGTCCAATCCCTTATAATGGTTGGTCAATATCCTATTCTTGGCTATTCTTGATTCTGATGGAGTGGCTTCAACAAATAGGAACAAATAATGAGCAATCTATCGCTGCAAAAGGCAGATTCTGAATGATTTAAAGATTCATGTCTACGACAGAGGGATGGAACATGGCAATTGGAAACCACCAAGCAATTCTGTCACTTTGCCAATTCTGTAAAGGTTCCAGTGCTGCCGGTGTCCCGGGTGTCCCGCGCCTCGTTCAAAAACTTGGTGTCCCACTGCACGTCCACCTGGGCTTTCCGAAACCCACCCTGGGATCCCTGTTCATCCCCTCCCCATAATCTTAAATACCCCATTTGAGGGGCCGATATGGATCTGGATCATAGATGGGGGATGATGGGAGGCATTTAAAAGAAATTTTAATGTAATTCAATGTAATTCATAATTAACAGTATGGTATTAAGTATAAAGTATTAAGGGGATGGGATTCCTGATATTCAAATCCCTCCGTATTCGAATGCTTCACATCCCCAGTCCCTCCGCACCAAGTGACACCCCACTTGGCATCCTTGACCAAGTGCGGCTCGGTGGCCCTCGGTATCCAGCTACCATCCGGTCATCAAACAGATGGCTTAAGCTGAAAAATCATGAAACATCCACCAGTTGTGGATGGTTGTCCCATTAAAACCACATAAAACCACTATTAATTTATAGTGAATTTAACCAATTGCCATGTTTGATTAGCGGTAGGTGAAGCAAACTCCAAGAAACAATACCCAAACGACGTGAAAAACCATGAGGTGATCCCGGCTGGTGATCCAACCACTGTTTTAGCACCAATTATCCACTTGAATCCAAAGCTGCAGTTCCCGACAGTATAACATTAGTATAACTATAGTAGAGTTATACTTAAAACCTATATTAGAACTGCCGCAATCTCTGTTGAAGCCAACTGACATGCCCCATTTCATGCTAGCATGGGTTGATGGGTTTTGTCCCCATTTCTTAATCTTGAAAACCCTAAAAGGATCTAAAAGTCGGGTTCCAACACTCCAAATTTTTCGTCACTGGTCTATGACATTCCTATGATTTTGGGGCAACCCATGGCAACCCTAAAATATAGGACACAGAAATTCTTTATATGGCAGCGTGTCAAAACCAATAGTACCCCTGTAGTTCACATCAAAATAGCTGGGATTTATGGATGTTCATTCCCATTAAAAATGGTATTAATAGGTATTGATCCATACCCAGATATCTCCAAGGTTGCGACAGCTCCTGCAAGTTCACCACGACTGGGGGATAGAGCGACCTCCCGATGCGGATCAGCATCGTCCGACTGGTGACTGGGGGATTCCCAGGGGGTTGCGCTCTGCATGCGGATGACACTGACTGTGACTCTGTGGTGATTTGGGCACCGAAAATGGTGAGCCAAGCCTTTCCTTTGGGCCATCTCCCCCGACCCTAGACCCGCAAATCCACTTAAATATGTCAGTGTCCAAGACCAAAATCTGAATACGAAGCCGCTACAGTTTCAGCAGCTGACTTGCTCAAAAATCAATGGAAAAATCCCATCTTTTCCCATGGGATTTTGCAGCCAAGTTTTTTTCATTAGCAGAGAGTAACCAGCCAAGTAAACCTCGTTTGGATGTTTTAAGCGTGAGATTTGGATGATAAACGCCACACTGTAAAAAACCCTTTCGTAGCCAAGAGGCTGCAAGTAGTGAATCATCATGATCATATACCTGAGCATGTCCCGAAAACCTCACAAGTGTTCAACCTTGTCACGACAAATATGAGCTTGTCTGAAAATGAGGTAACCAAAAATTTCATGGTTCATCATTGTTTTCCACATGAACGCAGTTATTTATTTGGAGGTTTACCATGGTTTACTTCATTTTCGGACCATCACGCATATGTGTCAGCCCGGTTTCCCCCGCCCGGCTGCCGGAATCCATTCAGTCTGTGAGTGAAATTCATGGGATTGAGAATGATGAGAATGGAGATTGAATGAATATATGAAGGCACATCGTACTTCAATGCAACTCATCATAACTCATCCAGTTACCCTGATCTAATTTTTCCAACATCGTTTTCCCATCACCATGCGCCAGGAACAACGGTACCGCAACGAGCTGCGCGTAGCTGTTCAAACATCCATCGGGAACACCGACCAGCTCATGGGTCTTGGTCCACTCTTTCCTGACATCCCAGTCGCCAGGCAACTACGGCGACCCTCGAAACAACATCTGCCGGAAATGGATATGGATAAACCATCCTACAAAATGGAAAGTATGATGAAAACTAGACTTTTAAATTATATTAATACCACACTCATGGCATGGAATGTAGCCCGAGAAATATGAGGACATTGCTTATAGAATCATTTAAAATCTACATTGATAGAATCGGTGGAATGATCCCACCCAAAAAACAATCCGCAGAACAAAACCTTGAGGGTTGCCACAGGCACAGTTTGTCAATCAGGGGTCTCATCCTACCTCGGCATCCTCAGACATCAGGGACTTTGGATGATTTTTCTAATTGGTCTATCTGGTGAATGACAGGTCAAACTGAATAATCAAGTATTTGTACCGTACATCAATATAGAAAGAAAATTACAACCCAATATGATATTGGATTGTAATTTTCATTATATATTGAAACTATTGAATATATAATTATATATATGTGTGTGTCGATTTCAGACGACTCTATGATCTACGGGAAATTGGCGTCTGCAAATTCTTGGACAATCTGCAACTGAGCTGCACTAGCCTTCCCAACCTCAGCAGTGAAAGTTCGCTTAAAGGGCGTATCCACTATTCCCAAGATGAGCCACTACCATAGAGACAGTGTAAGGGGTCATAGATAGTTTTTTTATCACTTGTATGTATAAATATATATATATACATAATTATACAGATACACATCTTTTACTCACTGGGCACAACTACTGTAAGAAGGAAAAACATACATCAACCGGCCATCTGGGGGTGTAATGCGGCGGTATGATGCCAAAAGCCTCTGCTCTTTGAGATCTTTGAGTTCTTCGATTCAAACGATCGCCTTCGATCCAAAGATTCTTCACGACGTCAAATATGGAAATGTCCATTTTACAACCCAAACTAACCCACCATTTTTGTCCAAACCTCAATAGATTGGTTGAACTTTTAAGTGCATGGTTGAACATTTGGATCATCTTAACATATCACCATCTAACATCCGGAAACCAATCATGGGTTGGTTTTCACCATGGTGAAATCACCATGAAATCCAGGGAAAAACGGAAACGATTTCACCCAGTGGCACTGGCACTCGCGGATCGCAGCGGCAGTAGGCGTCCAGCAGCTGACTATTTCGAATGCCCAAATCCTCAGAGCCCAGCCATTTTTTACACCCAAACAGCCGTCGAAGCCGTTGCCAAAATGGAGTTCATGGATTTCAATTTGACCTTAGAAACATGTTCAAAAGTGCTGGTAAGGCTTTGCTTAAGAATGGGTTTCCGACAGACCCTCCAAGACTTGGGAGACTTTTTTTCACTTTTGGGCGGGTAAAACGTTGCGGTGGCTAAAGTGATTGGTGGCACGTGGACAGCAGATTTTCTGTATTGATGTCTCCATCACAGGATCGATTGCTGCTTTGGAGATAAAGAATTTTCATTTTTTTCATGTCCCAGATTCTGTTACATTGCTGAGTGCCAGTTTTCTTCACTTTTGCTTGAGAAATTCTTTCGACGTAACATCAAGCAGGTGTGGAAGTGCAAGGGCGTTATTGGCCCAACCCCAAACCAACCCCACCCCAAGCTTGTGACATAGCAAAAAGAAAAGTAATGAAAAGTATATAACGTGGCCTGAAGAGGAAGTGAACGTGCCAGAGAAGCTCCTATGACGTATAGCTATGTATAGCTATCATTTATTCTATGGTCACCATTTCCAATTCATCCCTCTTAATCAATCCCCATGCATCCGACTTAGATGACTTAGATAGTCTTAATTAGATCCCCATCTTTGTTGCTTGAACATCAACAGCCATCCACCAAGGCGCATTCTTGATGCAGAAGTCTACCTGCAGTGAATGGAAGAGACATTTTGCCAAAGAGTAATTGGATAAAATCGTCTGAATCCGGAAGACACATTTTAGCTGCACGACGCAAAGAAGAGAATCCCTGAGAAAAAATAGAGAAGTATCCAAAGATTGATCGAACCTGGAAACATCCCCAAACTTCCTGGCTTTCCGGGCTTTCCGGCACCGCTGCTGGGACCGATACCTTGCCTCTAACTCGGTGATGGGGTCATAGAATTTGACCACAGGAATTTTTGACCTGGGTGCAGGGCCATGGCCCCATAGCATCTCCACAAAGATTTGGGAAAAAATCGGATCTCTCCCCAAAAATCTGGAGATATCTGGAGTTAACTCATGATTGAACAGCTGAGAATCTTGGTATTTCTGAACAAACACCTACGTAGGGCCAGTCCAGCTCTATGCACGTGCGGCACGAGTTCGACGCATATGCCTGGTGAAAAAATGTATGCTATACCTATCATCCATCTATCTATCTATCTATCTAATCTAATCTAATCTAATCTAATCTAATCTATCTATCTATCGTTCATCTGTCTATCTGTACATCTATCTATCTATACATATGTCTCATATACATAAGCAGATAGATGTAGATAGGATAAATATACACAATGAATCAGAATTAGAAGCTTCCAGCAAAATCCCCTGGTGATGGATCCCTTCATCGAGGCACCCGAAAACAGGAGTGACGTCTTGAAATTCCTCCTGGCGATCGAGCGGAGCCGATGTCTTTCACTGGCTGTGTCTGAAACTGGCGAGTTTGACCATCTTCCCAAACAGTGCAATACTTCTCAATAGTGGAAAAAATGATGAGAATATGATGAGACATACCAATCCATAAACTAATAAATACCATCAAATTTTGGGATGATTTTGGGAACACAATATATTCAGACTCATATGGCAAGGTTTGCAAGATGATCATCTCCAATGGGCAACCAGTTGGCACCAACATCTTGGTTCACCTCCCCTGTTCTTGCCAGTGATATCTGCGCGTTACAGCCTGGTTTCCCCATCTCACTTCCCCATCAGTTCTGTCTTTTTGGTTTGTTACTATAACCAATCCCAGATGCTTCATGTATGGCATATTCACCTAGATTTTAATCGTGCTTATCTTTTTTTGGGTAAAATGTTGGTACACATTCCATACATTGTACATTTTTTGATGTATACATACATATATATATATATATGTACACAGTTAAAAAAAAAATACCATATATTTATACCATATCCATATTCCATAGCTGTTGCTACACGTTCCGTGGAGCATATGGGAATGATCTGTTACTGGGTGTCGCACCTTGAGATGTCGCACCAACTGTGACAGCTCTTTCACTTGTCCAGCAGGACCTGAGCGACCCTAGCCGTGGGAGACTTCATGGAATAGGCTACCCTCTGGTAAACAAAGGTATTGAAAATTGCCATTTATAGTGAGTTTGCCATAGTTTTCCCATTAAAAATGGTGATTTTCTATAGTTATGTTAGTTTACCAGAGGCTAACTATGGCCAAATTATGGTCATCCCATGTCATGGGAATCCATGGCTCCATGGGATTTTTGATGATTTTTGCATAGAAATCAGGAAAAAAATCCCCAGTGGATTGATGACCATAAGGGATCACTTTCGGTGGATTTCCCGGAAAAAATCTGCCTTTTTTAAGCGACCCTTGGTGTAGAAGGGTCTTTGTAAACAAGGCTCTTTATGTCAAAGGAGTCATTCTACAAATCCAGCTGCTGCTTTAACAAAGGATGGATCGAAGGAAGATTCCGCGTACCCTCCGATTCCGCGAGCCCAATTTGGGCATCAGCATGGTCTCGGCTTCACCCGCGTTTTGGATCACAATTGTCACAATTCTGGCAATTTTGACTTTATCTGGACTATAATTTGCTGAGATCAGATGATCAGGTCAGGCGATTCCTCGACTTATACATTCCCGTGCTTACTAGCGTAACCCTACCATCACGCCACACCCTTTTGTTACGCTAAGCTCCCCCGCTGCGGTCCTTCACGTGCCCTGTGTACCTGCGAAAATCCACTGCGGTCCTTCACTAGCCTCTGTTTCTATACACCCTAAAGTGAGCATATAGTACTGTAAATTGAAGAAAAGATCTAAAGATCATCTTTGATCCCTAAATCATCCAGACGGTATATCCTATCATCTTAAATCATCGTTTAAGATCTAAACATTCCTAAATATCCTAATCATCCCAAAAAAAATATGGAGGTCTGCTCTAAAATCATCCCTAAATCACAGCAAAAACCATTCAAAATCATCTTGAATCATCCCCGAATCATCCCCAAAAAACTTACCTTCTGGTAATTTCACAGCTTGCTATTGAAAATTGCTGTTTTGATATACATTTATAAATATATATATATATATATATATATTATATATATATAAGTATATATACTTATATCATCATATATCTTGATTTAACAAAATTGGTGATTTTCCATATTTTATGTGGTTGTTACCCTCTGGTAAACTAACATAGCAATGGAAAATCACCATTTTTAATGGGAAAATCCATTATAAATCACCATTTTCAATAGCTATGTTAAATTACCAGAGGGTATTTAAATGGTGATGTTCCATGGCGAGGTTTTCCCGGTCTCCAAAAGGACATCCCCAGGGCACGCCACGTCCACATCCGAGCCAACAGACTTGAAGCCTGTCGCGGAGGAACCAAAGGTCACCACGTCCTCGAAGAGAAAAATGACCAGGGGAAATCCCCGGGTCCGGATGGGAAAATATAGGACACATATGGGAATATATATATATGCATATACATATATAATATATATGTATATATAGTATATATAATAATAACCATAATAATGATAATTATTATTAGTATAATAATAGTAATTATAATAATTATTATTATAGTTATAATAATAATTATTGTTATTATTAATAATATATATATAATATAATATATAATATAATACGCAAAAATCATCTAACTCAATGGCAATTCATGAAACTACATGGATGGTTTTTTAATATGTTGGGAAAATCATTGAAGCCATGGCTCCATGACCAGGTGCTGTGATGCCATCCCCTTCCCAGGGATGAGTCTATCGATGCCAGGGAACACCCTCAAATCCAGCGCGGTGCACAACAGCCTGCGGCAAGACCATGAGGAAACTCCCAGAGCTGTAGATTTTGAGGGAAAAGATGTGGAGAACAAGATCTGTTTTGATTCAAACAATGAAAAACAACGGATTTTGACTGATTTGGATGGATTTGGACCATGCAAAATCAGAGTTTCCCAGAAGTTTCCTACAATTCTTCTTGAACCACGACCAGTTGACTTCAGCCCCCTAGAGCTCGGCTCGGTCTAGCCTGAGTTCGCTGAAGTACCTGGCACACCTGGGTGAAAACCAGCAGCAGGATGGTAGAAACGTTGCCGGTTGGGCGGTTTCAACCCATGGCTATAGCAACCCCCGAAAAATGGACTGTAATTGACTGTAATGCATAGGACTATTTTACTACGACTTCACTGTTCTATCTTTTGAGGGATTGCTGTAATTGTCATAATATTTACAATCTTATAGGACAGTTCCCCGGCAATATTGATGGTTTCAATTTCAGCCATGATTTTTTGTAGTGTTCCCGCCATCTGCAGCAAGAAACTGCACAGAGTAGTTGTTTCCACCAGTTGTTCAATGGTTTAGTGGTTTCGGATGGAGGGTTAGGGGCTTGGATTCTCGGATCCCCAACTATGGCCATGATAGGGTCCTGTGCCCCAAAACTCGGCGACATCCAGGGCCTTCTGATACTCCTCCTCTTGGATTTCCGTGGTGTACTTCTGACTGATGTACCTCAGCCCCGCAAATTCACGCGCCAGTCTGAAAATGGTCCTGGGAATTTGCGAGTGGAACCTCAAAAAGTGGGGAAACTGGTTTTCAGCACATCGATTTCTGGTCATTTTGTTGGATTCTTCAGGTTCCTGCTGATTCTGGAGTATACCCCTAGCAATCCCATCCCCTTAAATATTAACACCCTCATTGTATGGTACTAAAATGTACTAAATATGTGTAAATCCTCTTACTAAACTAGGCGGGCGGGATTGGTGCGATGATAAGAATGACCCATATGGTTGGTTTCTGAAATCGTTCGCAAGCAAATGAAATCAAGAATCAAGACCATATCCTCAATCCTCAGTGATGAGTTTGCCACCCTTTATTATCTTCCAAACGTTTGATGGCTATTTTCTTTGTTCCAATTAGCTTTGTACCCCAAATGCATACACAATTACCTCTGAATGATGTTCCCATCCATTGTATACATAATCTTGGAATGGATAGATAGACTGATAGATTGATAATATGGATGGTAGACGGATAGATTGATAGATTGATTGATAGATAGATAGATAGATAGAGATAGGGATAGAGATGGAGATGGAGATAGAGATAGAGACATAGATAGAGATATTTGATATTGATATGCATATAGATTTAGAAAAAAATAGATAGATATAGATAGATCTAGATAGATCTAGATAGATCTAGATAGATCTAGATATAATAGATAGATAGGCATATGGCAAATAAATCAAATAGATAAATAAATGAATTATACCTATCGTTTCACATGATATTGCCCTCATTATGTCCCATTATATTCATTATTCCCTGGCACATTAACAGTTTGACCCTGATAATCACCCATGCTGAGTGGAAAAATCAAAATTCTTCCAAGCCCCAAGTCATGGCAGGGTCAAACTGTTTATTTACACCCCCAATTGCATCTCAAGTCATTAATAGACAGATAGAAAGATAGACAGATAGCCAAACACATACCATAAGTCAAAAGTTAATCTATATATATTGGAACATTAAATCCAACAAACTAATTTCCAACCAACACGATAACATACAATAACACTCTAACCTATTCCCATTGTTGTTAAAAATTACACCACAGGTATTAATAAATAGTAAACACCCCCATCCTATTCACATTACATCTTCACTTCATCGTCCAAGGATCGCGTCGAGCAAGGGGCCTGACCTGAAACGGGCATGGTGTTTCGTGGTGCGTTTCCCGAACAGCGACGCTCTGGCTTAATGGCGATTACCCTCTGGTAAACTAACATAGCTATGGAAAATCACCATTTTTAATGGGAAAATCCACTATAAATGGCCATTTTCAATAGCTATGTTAAATTACCAGAGGGTATGTTTTAGTGATTTTAGTGGTATTGTATGAGGATATGATGGGGATATTACCCAACAATCATGGGATATCATGGGTGTTTTTGGGCACTCAAACATGGCTAGCTGGAAGATCCCCGTGCGAAATGCAGCTTATTGATGGGAAAATCATCTATAAATGGTAGATTTGGGTATGGGTCAATACCTATAGATACATTTTTAGTGGGATGAACATCCATTTACCAGCTATTTTGGGGCTCACTGGGTACCAGGGTTTTGACCCATAGCCATTTTCCTTTGCCATGTTTGATTACTGGAGAGTATCCTCCACTTAATCCCCTTCAGAATCCTTTGGAAGATCATCCAAAATGCTGGGCTTCCAGGATGTGAGATGGATGTTTGAGCGCATCTGAAATCAGCTAATTATTTTCTGGTAAGCAAACATCGCTTGCCGGAAAATTCCTCACCTTAGTTCAATAATTTCCAAACTCAAACCTCCATTGAGTTCGATGATTCTCTCGTGTTTTCCGAGTAAATATTGTAAAACCTGTCACTTAGTTCGATGATTTTCCCAGCTATAAACTATTGTAAACCTCTACAGGGGGATTTCCCGTGTTTGAGTACCAAATGGTACCCTCCAGGAATTTCACATGGATCAAAACTGAACGAGATCATCGACTTGCCAAAGGACTTTTCTCCATATCTATGTGAAATGACCAGAGGGTAAGATCTAATGTGGGGTTCACCTTTTGCCATAAACAACTATACCATTTGGGGATGGTCGGAATCCCACACGTTTGTGGTCCGTACGGAGGGATCCGAAATTAAAACCACCATCCTGGAGCTGCTTCAAGGCAAAAAATAGGTAAAACCAAGATGATAAAAAGAGTAACATCATGAAAACCTAATGGTGTCCTGTAACTCTTCTCTTGAAACAATCCTTTCAAACCAGAAGACCACCAATAATATAGTTGAAACACATGCCACATTTGCCCTTCCTAACAAACACCTGTCTGTCCAAAGCAGCATGCTTTCCCTTTTGCTCAGCACTGCATCGTCGGAAACTTGCGGAAGGTTCCATGGCACGTACGAATTGGCACAGGTTGATCGGGAGATCGGCCTAAAAGGCTAATGTCGAGAGCTGCTCCTTTGAGTCCCAAGGGCAGCGAGAAGTTAACACCTGGCAGCAGGTCACAAGGGCATGTACCTTTCGACTCAGGTTGGCTTGTCACTGCAGATTTTCTGCTGCGTTGTTGATTCCATCCAGCTTAGAGTTGGCAACATATCAAGTCTTTGACTTGGTCCTTGCTTCAACGTGCTGTTTGAACTCGTGCAAGATCTTCCACTGACCATGCACACAAGCGTTCCTGATTGGATCACGTGCTACACTTCCTTTATTCAATCCATCGCTCAGCATATCAAGCGTATCTATCCAGCAAAGGCGGCTGGCGACACGCATAGCAAGGATCTCTTTTAGTTTAAGAGCATGCACAAGCATCAACTTATCTGTAGTGGTCTTGGTGTCTGTTGCAATTATGCAATCAAACACTGCTCGTGCATCCAAGAAAAGATCACTTTCTAACGCATTGGTTCCAGTCTCTTGGATATCAGCCATCATGCTAGCTGATTTGCTACCGGTCAGAACTTCTGTCATAGCAAGGTTGATCGTATTGGCAAGGGCAACCAAATCAAGAGCCGCATAAAGTTCAGCTGTGAAAGTACTGCGGCAAACTCTGCTTTGTTTCTTTGAAACAAACTCCAAGATTTGGATCGGATTGTTTCCGATCTTGGGACCATCTTTATCACCTAAGGCTATGATTCCACTTCTCATGGCGAGACCATCATTCTCTTCAGCTTTGAAACTACTATCAGATATAACATACATCCTCCATGGATTGTTCACCTTATGATAGTACAACTTCATTGGCTTTCGTTTCAAATACGCAAGCACACGATTTAAGTTGGCAACATCACGGCCAGTGGGTGATTGGAGCTTGCGCTGAAGAGCAGCTGTGAACACAGCTATGTCTGGTCTGGTCTGAACTGTCCAGGCTATTCCACCAAGAAGTGACATGAACTGACTTTTGAGATCATCATTAACTGGTTCATCCTTTGGGCTGTTTGTTTCAGCTACGAAGCGAAGTTCATTCACATAGTGTTCTTGGCTAACACTACGTGAACCATTTGGTTCAAGGACATGACGGAGTCCAAGGTGCTCAAAGTTGTCTTTTTCTACCTTAAGTTCATCAAAGTGTTCTGTCAAAACTTTAAGCACTAGGTTCAGCTGATCTTCTTCGCCTGTCATTTTCAAGTCATCGACATGAACTGAAAGAACGAGAACAAGGCGTTCTCCTGAGTGTTTGACAAACAACTGTCTGTCTGTTTGTACTGCCTTCAAACCACACTTATCAAGAACCTTTTGGAGGGCTAGGTTCCAGAGACGTGGCGCGTCCTTCAGTCCAAAACTTGGTTTTAAAAGCGAAAGGCATTCACTGGTCGGATCATAGTTCTCCATTCCAGGAAACGTTCGGAGAAGCTCTTCTGATCCTACTGGCAAAGCTATCTCCACAACACGGAGAGGTTGTGAAGTATCCATTTGGGCCAGTTCTTGGAAAGTGATGCCGCGAAGAAAGGCTTCGCTGACGTCTGCTGAAATCAAAGGCCACCCAAATTGGGTTGATATGGCTAAAACAATCCTCTGTCCCCAACGTGAAGTGGTTCCTGCAAACGTGCTCAAGCTCTGTCGGTCTTGGAAACCCTGAGCAACAAGACGACCCTTCACATCTTTCTTTCCTGCAATGTTCTTCCATTTCAAGACCCATTTAGATTTCAAAAGATTGCGGCTGTTGGAAAGTGGCATTCGGCGCCATGCGTTGTGCTTGATCCAACGATTCAATTCCTTTAACATGGCAGCTCGGCAGGCCTCAACATTTTCCAAAGCTTCACTACGGGTTAAGACATTATGGGTCCTTTCAATTACAGGAACATTGGGACTAACATTATTGGGATTAATGTGGTATTGGAAAACTGGATAGTCGAGCCCAGCTTCATCTAGTGCAACGCTGGGTGTAACAAGATACTGGGACACCTTTCTATCCAATCCTAGTTCGGCTGGTTGGTCATCATCAGCATACGCAAAGATTTCTTCGTTGTGGTGGTTGCAACATGGCCAGATTGGTGGACTGGCTGCACAAGTCCAACTCACATGGATGTCTGGATCTGCGTTTTCACCTTCATCTGGCAACAAGTCAATTTCTGAACCATCAAGGCTTTGGGATGTTGGAACAACATCTGGATTAGTTGATGGCTCATTTTGTGTCGAAGAAACATTGACATCAGGCTGCTGCTCATTCGGATTATCTACTTCGGGTTTATCTGTTAAGGACTTAAACTTAGGTCTATTGGTTTTGGGATTAAGTAGGGGAACTTCGCGGATCAGCGGCATGCGAGGCTCATACACGCCGCCGATACTTGCGATGTCAGAATTAATCTTTCTTAAGTGCGAAATGGCAACGCCATCCTCCATTAGGAATTGGATGAATGCGACATTTTCACTACCACCTAAGTTATGCAAGTTTATGGTTTTGCTTCCATCAGTGAAGGCGTGACACCAGTTGTGGAATTCACCGGGCTTCCACCAGCATACAAGTGTTTCATCGCAGTAGAGACCTGAGATGGTCTTCATGCCATGGCCGAATCGCAAGCTAAAGACACCTATGAGTTGCAAATTGACAGCTCCAACGTGAAGTCCTGCATGTAAGACTTCAGAGTACTCTTTGTTGCCCTCGCATGACAACCATAGATCATTCTTACGGAACCATCCAACTCTCATGCGACCCTTGAAAAATTCTGCAGCAACTTTCAAAACTTCAATTGGTGAATTGGCACCACCAAAGAATGCAGGTGCATATGCGAATGCCAAGGCTCTGCGTGCATCTTGTACGCGGACTTGAAGATTTCTGCCCTGCCACCTCACACCGATAATTCCATCAGTGAGCGCAGTCAAATCGGTTATGGATGCAGGGCCGTGCCAACGGGGCACGTCTTTGGAAATGGTTGGGCGATAAATATCCACAAGATCACCAACTTGCATGTCCTTCAGCTCTCCAGCTGGTCTGGATTTCGTGGCATTTGCTCTGCGGATGCGATCCTCTGCTGAGGCTTGGATCATGGCTTGCACGGCTATGGATCGGAGTCGGGCGGGATGTTCCCGCTCCTGATCATCTTCTGCAGTCATCACATCGAGCATTGGTGGAGTACGGCCGAACAAGGCCTCGTAAGGAGAGTATCCTCCGTACTGCAGCAACACATTCTTGGAAAACACAGCTTCATTAAGAACTTGGGTAAATGAAACACGAAGTCCATCCCTAGTAGCTTGTTGATCCATCAGGTGAATTTGACGTCTAAGGATTTCATTGTGTCATTCTACCACTGGAGCATGTTGGCTTTTAGCCTTTAAATGAAGCTTAATGTTCAGTTGTTCAAGCACTGCTGCAGCAACTTCATTAAGTCCACCTTCTTGATCGGATATCAATTCTGCAGGGGATCCATATTGATTGATCCATCCATCACGAATACCATTCAGGATTGAGGGTGTTGTTCGGTCAGGGATTTCAACACCAACACTCCAGCGAATGCATCGGTCAATCATGTGCAAGATTACATGAGTACCAACAAACAGCAAGTCAAGTTCGACTTCAAGGTTAAAACGTTCAGGCAGTCTCGTGGAAGTGACTATCTGTTCCCAGGGCGACTCCAGTTGCGACAAATGTCACATGTGGCAACGACATCTGCAACTTGAGCAACAACTTCAACAGGTACACCGGCAGCGGTGAGCAGGGTGCTCATGCGTCTTGC